TTTGGATTATTTTTTCTTCTTGCTCTTCTGATTGGATGTTTTTTGCTTCCTCATGTTGCAATTCATTGATTTGATTCTAGGAATCCTCTACTCTACTGTTGAATCCTTGTAAATTATTCTGTATTTCAGTTAGTGTATGCTTAATTTCTGACTGGTCCTTTTTTAGGTCTTTGAAATTCTCACTCAGATTCTTGAAAGTCTCACTAAATCCCTTGAAGTCCTCATTAAATCCCTTGAAGCTCTCATTAATATCCTTGAGCAACCTTATAACCATTGTTTTGAACTCTGTATCCAGTAGTTTGCTTGCTTCCATTTCTTTTATTTGTGACATGTTTCTGTGTCTCGCATTTTGGCTGCTTCCCTGTGTTTGTTTATATGTATTATGTAGAGGTGTTATGTCTCCTGGAACTGGTAGAGTAGCCTTGTGTAGTAGGTGTCCTGTAGGGCCCAGTGGCTCAGTCTCCCAATAACCTGACCTGGGTACTCTAGGTGCACCCCTGTGTGGGCCATGTGCACAGTCTTGTAGTTGAGACTTGATTACTGTTGGTATCATTGGAAGGAATTCACCTCCAGGCCAATTGGCTGTGAGGACCAGCTTCAACTATAATGGGAGAGTTGCTGTGCAGGAAACACCCCTATGTGGGGCTTTTGTGTTCACTGAGTCTGCCCTTGGAGTGGGTCACTTATGGATGTGTAGAGTTATAATTTGGTATGGTCTGAAGCTGTCCACTGGATGCACTGGCTCTGGGGCCTCCTGGGATGTGCAAAGTCAGCTACTGCCTGGGTAACCCATTAGGCTCTACAGAGAGATATGCAGATGGCTTCTACTTGTATTCAGTTTGGAAGTGCTCAGGCGAGGCCCAGCTGTGAGGCAAGGCACGCTGGTGCTAGTTCCAGGTCTTGGGCCTTTTGTTAATGGGTCTGGGTCACATTGATTCCAGGTGCTGATTTTTCAGAGATTTTAGAAAAGTCTGAAGCCTGAGCTAGGACAGGCCATTTATATGGCAAAACCACTACAAAGAGCTTGGCTTGGGGTGGGGTCTCAGGGAATCACCAAGGCAGAGTGAACAGTGTGGGCCAGACTGATGGAAACTCAGATATGTTTATGTCAGTCAGCTCTGTGATTGGGGAGATCTGAGCACAGGAACAATGACCGCTGTGAACACCCCTGTCAGGGAGAAGGCCGCCTCTAAGTTCCTGCTCCAATGCCAAATAATCCAGTTCCTCCTCGTATGTCCCTGGATCCCCCAAAGCTGCTGCCCAGCACTGGAGCTCATAGGCAACAGGACTGTGTAGGTCCTTATGCAGGATCTTTAAAAAGACCTACCTGAGGCTCCAGGAGCATCTGTGTCACTCAGCCACAATCCCTACTGTTTTCTACAGCTCAAAGTTACAGGGACTTCATCAGAATCTTTATAGGCCAGAAGGGCATGGCATGTAGTATTCAAAGCAATGAAAAGCAAGGATTTGAAACCAAGGCTAATCTATCCAGCCAGTCTATCATTCAAAAGAGATTGTGAAATAAAGAGCTTCCCAGACAAAAAAAAAGCTAAAGGAATATATCAGCAAATCAGCATTGCAAGAAACGTTAAAGGGACTGCTGTGATAGTAATAAGAAATATATATAGAGAGAAACATAGGCATAAGGAATAAAAATGGCAATAAATAATTACCTATCAATAACAACCTTAAATATAAATGGATTAAATGCTCCAATCAAAACACATAGGGTAGCTGAATGGATAAGAAAACATGACCCATAGCCCAGATGGCATGGCTCAGTGCTTGAACATCAACCTGTGAACTAGGAGGTCATGGTTCGATTCCTGGTCGGGGCACATACCCGGGCTGTGGGTTCGATCCCGTGTGGGGCGTGCAGGAGGCAGCTGATCAATGATTCTCTCTCATCATTGATGTTTCTATCTCTCTTCTCTCCCTTCCTCCCTGAAATAAAAAATATATATACTATTGTTGTATCATAAATCAGCGAATGAGATACAAGATGCCTTAATAAGCCAATTAATTAGGAGTCGTTTATTGCATGTGGCTCAGAAGAAGGTGTCTCTCTTCCAAATCTCTGAGCCCTGACATAGAGGAAGTGTCTCATATTTATACCTTTTGAGCTTCTTTGTCTGTAGGTTTCACAAAGACCTCTGTATAGGTTATTGCTACAGTCAGTTTGTAACCTTGAATACATAATGAGTTAGTACTTGGTATAAATGGCAATTATTATCAGTATTAGTCTATTTTAGTCTATTACATTGGATGGCTAGCTTGCGAGGTCAGACAGTTAAGTTTATCGTGTTCTATTATTTGAACTAAATACAAAGTCATTTTACAGAATAACAGACTGTCTTAAAGTGACAGAGTTTATAATGACAGAGTTTACAGGACTAGGGACTATCTAACAATAGCAGAGAGTTTCAAACAGCAGTTTTTTATACAAGATGGAGGTTACTATGCTTCAGTATATATGAAAAAGAAAACATGACCCATATATATGCTCTCTACAACAAACTTACCTCAGAACAAAAGACTCCCACAGGATGAAGGTGAAGTGATAGGAAAAATATTTCCATACAAATGGAAATGAAAAAAAAAGATGGGGTAGCAATACTCATATCTGACAAAATAGACTTCAAAATGATGGCCATTACAAGAGACAATAAAGGTCACTACATAATACTAAAGGAATTGATCCAAAGAGAGGACATAACCCTGGTAAACATATATAGGAGCACCTAAACAATGGGAGAGGACCTAAATAAATAGAATCAGAAACAAAAGATGTAAAGTAACAACTGACAACACAGAAATACAAAGGATTGTAAGAAAATACCATGAACAACTATATTCCAATAAAACGGACAACCTGGATGAAATGGACAAATTTCTAGAAAAATACCATACCATTTTCCAATACTGATTCAGGAAGAATGAAAAAAAAAACCCACAAAACTGAATAGGCCAAAACAACTGTTGAAATAGAAGCAGCTATAAAAATGAAGAATAGCTTATCCTTTGAGACAGCATGAAGGACCTGAAGATTGTTATGCTAAGTGAAATTAGACATTCACAGAAAGACAAGTGTCACATGATCTCACTCACTTGTGGAATCTAATGAACAAAATAAACTCAAAGACATAGAAGCATGGAGCAGACTGGTAAATTTCAGAAGGAAGGTGGGAGTCGTGGTGGGGGTGGTAAGAGATTAACCAAAGAATTTACATGCATATATGCATAACTCATGGATACAGACAATAGTGTGGTGAAGGACTAAGGGTGGGTATGGGGTGGAGGGGTTCAATGGTGGGAGGAAAGGGGACATCTGCCTAGCTGGCATGGTTCAGTGGTTAAGCTTTAAGCTATGAGCCCAGGAGGTCATGGTTTGATTCCCAGTCAGGGCACATGCCTGGGTTTCAGGGTTGATCCATAGTAGGGGGCATGCAGGAGGCAGTCAATCAATGATACTTTCTCATCATTGATGTTTCTATCTCTTTCTCCCTCTCCCTTCCTCTCTGAAATCAATAAAAATATATATTTTTATAAAGTGGGGGACATCTGTAATCCTTTCAACAATAAAGGTAATTTTTTTAAAAAAGCTGGGGCTCTAGGTTTGGATCCCAGTTCTTCCACTTGCTACCAGGTCACATTATGACATTTGTGGGCCCTAGGTGCTTTTATATTGTGGGCCCCTTCCTCCATTAACAAAAGTACACAAACCCCAGAGGGAAGGCCAGGGAGGTTGGGAAGGGGGGTGTTAAGAGATCGACCAGAGGACTTGTATGCATGCATATAAGCATAACCAAGGGACACA